TTCTTCTGCAAAGACTGGCATGCTTAGACTTAAATCCCTCATCCAGACCAAGAAACACTTGTACTAACACCAACACCTGGTTTTCTCGTCTTGCTCTATCACTTTTCACCGTTTGTAAAGTTGACAGTTTTCCTTGATTTTTACCCGTGTGTGGAGCTAACTGTTCACTGTAAAACATCCTCGTTCTTCTTTTCCGCAAATCGTTTGATGTTTTCTGCAGTCACGGCCAGGCATTACAGAAATACTGCCCCATCACAAGGCCTGTTGTTTGGTTAAACAGTCCCGTCTTTCTTAGCAGTAATAACCAATGGAAAGACGTGAGTGAGGGCAAGATGAAAGTTTGTCAAAAAGGCCATGTTGGTGTGGATAGGTATGTGATACTGAAAGAGACAGCTGAGCTCCAGCAGGGTACAACTCAGCTCTGAGGAGGCAACTCTGGTGGGCCCAGTTTAACCACTGCTACCAGCTAACCCAAATATTTTTGCCCTTAATATTAAAGATGTGCAGCATTTTGTCTTGATGTTCATTCAATTTCTGAGGTAGATACTTGAAGCATTTATTTAAACTGAGGGCAGCAATGAGGATGGCTCACTTAATAAACCAGCACTGGTTGACGTTACAAGCTAAAATGTTTTTTTTTCGGCATACGTCTGTGTGTACATTGGCTTCTATAAGTTTACCAAATTACAGCCACGATGTCGGTTTCATTAAACCACAATGCTGCCTTAAAGCTCAAACCTAGTTTTCTGATAAGCATGTTGGTGGACAGCAGACTGTAGTACTCAACCCGTTTGTATCTTTCATTAGTAATAAAGAAACTACAAAAATGGAAGTTTTTTTTTCCCATTTTATTTTAAAAAGTTTCCACAGCTCCAGCATCTCATTCAGAAGTTCCTGTAAAATAAAGACAAGAAAAAAGTTGTTAAGTTCTGCTTGCCGACACGCTCTTCACTTCCAACATTCAGCAGGTACAAAATATTAAGCTAAAGCTTTTAATTAGTAGCGTTACTCCATCTCAGTTGCAGCCCTTGAAACTCAATTACTTTATTTTTAGGGCCCGAGGACCAAGGTCCAGGACCCCTGCTTGCTTTCCTGTAGTGTTTCTTTCTTTCTGACGAACACGAAACCCTTAATTTGAACCCCTAAACACGCTCAAAAACTCACCAAAAATTTTATAAAATGAAAAAAGAAAACCAAGAAACCTCTCTAGCACCACCTAGTTACAAAACAACACACTTAAACGGCCCGAGCGCCCAGTAGGAATGTCGCACAGAGATCAAACTAACACCAAAACGTTCGTCTCAATGAGCCCCACAAATCTCGTGCTGACACCCCTGACCTATCTCACACAGGAAGTCCGCAATTTGCCTTTCAAAGTAAAACAAATCAGCAAAAACGTCTGTTGGGAAAAACTTATGTTGTCTGACACTGTAAATTGTATCAACTTGAAAATCGCACAGGAGACAGAGAAGGCCTTCATGTACAAAAGTTCTGAAGGGATTTGGTGTTTCTCAAACGGTTTTCAAATGGCGAGCCGTTAAATTTGATGAGCTGCCGCAGACTCAGCTCATCCTCTCTATGGCTGTGTATGGGCAATGCACAGACATGCTGTGAACGCTCAGTGCAGCTGCTCAGAGACAGGAACATGGCTCCTTCACCTTAAAGCAGGTTTAACTTGAAGAACAGTCAGACGGGCATGGGGTCGCAATGTGGACCGAGGACCCGACCAACGCTGCTTGCAGCTTTAGTTCAATATGAAACCCAGATGATGTGTATTTTCTGTGATCCAGATGGCCACTTGCAGGACAGATGACTGCTTATAATCCAAATTAGGGCTGCAGCTATTAAGCAGTACAATAAGTATTCTAGCAATTATTGTAGCGATTGAGTAATTGAATAAAAATTTCATTAAATGACTTCAGCTTCATGTAATAGTAAGACAACATTTTCTCCGCAGGTTATTTTGCTCTCCCTGTCGCTCATCGTTTTTGTCTCCGTCTCCAGTTTGCATTCTGTGCTTGGCATGCACGTTAGCTTCAAAAGTGGATGTTAGCGCGCTGTGCAACAGATACAACCGTCCAAGTGGAACTGTATCATGCATACATATAGTATAGTACAGTACAGGGGTTCTCAACTGGTCTCACCCTGGGACCCACAATTTCTCATGGTCATTAAGTCGCGACCCAATTTTTTTTTTAGAATTCAATATATTTTCCTGTGCAACATGCATTTCAGGGCATATACCCATGCATAGTCACTGGACCATGAAAACTGCATGTACAAAAGTGAATAATATAAATATAAAAAATACTCTAAAATAAAGTTTTAGCCTAATCCGGTCATTTGTTGAAGTTAACGAGACAGTTGGGCACGTGCTCTACTCCTGATTAGAGTTTCAGAGTCTGTGGTGACAGTAGACAGAGCTGCTCTCAGATCATGCTCAGTGTCCAACCTGTTCCTCTGCTGTGACCTGAGCTGGACCAGAAGCCACTGTCACACAAACATTATTTGGAGATCACAATTGATATCCCGATTCCAGCACAGCCAATGAATACTTGGCTATTTGGGTCCAGTCCTAGTATGAAAATCCATATTTTAAATACTCTGGGTCATATTTGCGCTTTGCCATCTTGCATCCCATCAACACAAACTTAAAATGAACAAACTATGGTTACCATGCCTGTCAGAATAAAAGTTTTTCCAAAATAAAAAATAAGTCCAACCTGAGACGCACATTATATATTATTTAATTTTGACCTGCTGTCCACAACCGACCCAGAACAGGACCCACCAGTTGAGAACCCCTGGTATAGTATATAGTGGTTTAAATGAAGACTTGAGGGAGAGAATTTTGCCTCGAGGCATTTTAGTAATCAAATTACTCGGGGAATCATTTCAGCTCTAATTGAAAGACTAGCAACAATTACTAGATTCATTTTCAATAATTAATGATCAGCTATTTTGATTAAGGTTTAATCAGTTTGAGTAATTTCTTAAAAAAAAAAAATCAAATTTCTTTGCAGAGGAACTTCTGCCACAGCAGTCCTGCACTGTGTATATGAACTGAAGTACAATCCGACATGGCAGTAAGTCCTGCACTGCTTGCATGTCAGCACTAAATATTGTAAACACATTATTCTGTGGTTTGATCTGTGAGTGAAAGTGATGAGATGCTCTCTTCAGGAACTTAAAAGGAAAAAATGATGACTCAAACTACACCTTATCTTTATGTATATATGCTTTATATACATTTCCCATGTAGTATGTGACAACAGGTTTTTACTTTGCAACAATGGTGTCAGTCTTTGCCAGCCTCAGGATGGAGTCATCAGATTCGCCCTGTCGGAGGAGAGAAAAAAAAAGTGTTATTGGGTATAAGCAGTGTGTGAGCCTTACCATGGCTTACAGCAGAGCTTTTCGTGGTAAGAAATCATGACAGATACATTTATACGACCTTTGATTTAGCTTATATCAACAATACTCTTACTGGGAATACCAATGGCAATATGGAAAGGGATGAAGTTGGACAAAAATTAGTTTCAGTTTTACAAAAGCAAGAGGGAAACTCAAGTATACGAGGTGTGTCAGAAGGAAGAGTTTCAGGGCTGGTGTCACAAAAGATATTTTTCAAATCCAAAAGTTTTCCTCCACGTAGTGATAACACACTCCCCCAGCCCTCTCTGCCACACCGC